TCCCTACACACAGTGGCTGGGGCATGGAAGCATCCTTACAGAGATGCCTCATTGTCCTTCACCCAAGACCCATGAGATAAAGTTGTTCAGCTTCCAAAACAGGTTTTAAATCTACTTCATTCAGCCAGAGAAGCCACTTCCAGGGAAGTTCTTGTGGGGCAGAAATAACATATTGTGCAAGTTAAGAAACTCCTCAGATAGAAACTCCTGGCCATTATCTGCTTAGGGAAGATTCAAAGCAATAAAGGCACTGAAAGACTTTATCTCCAAAAGAAGCTTTCTGCAAGTATGAAGGAAAGTCAGGCAAAACTATTCCAAAATTTGAAGTCACACATATTAAAATAGTGATGTAGTGAATAATGTTTTACCTAAAACTCTCAATCTCTCTGCTCCAACCACCACTTCGTTGTCATCTGCTGAAAACAGCAATTTTCCAGAGAGGGTTTTCACCTCAAATTTTTGGCTGTGTGCTTCCACTGCTTGGGGACCTAGAGGAAGGAAGAGATTTAGCATAATCTTTTAGTGAAAAGTATAATAAAATAACATGGTAGCTTCATACATTTAATAAATCCATCTGCTGAGATTATCCTAATAGCTCTGCTGATCCAACCTGCATCTGCCACATCAAACACAAAGATCTGTGCTTTTCAGAGGGTAACCTCACATTAGAAAAGGGCACTTTTTTCTACCCAGATAACAACCCCTCAACTACTACTTATGTTTTTGTTAATATTTATGTATGTCATAAAATCACCATTAAGCTTGACATAGGTGGGAAATATTTATAAGACAGACCTGCATGTGAAATAGCAATGAATACACCCAACCATGCTTTGAGGGTGTTGCTGCTAAGAGGCACCAAGAGTTTCTGAGTAGATTTTGCTTGGACTGCTGCTAGTGGTGTAACAGATTCCTAGTTTCCTGCTTATTAGATATATCTGGATTAAAATAATATCAGTGTCATGCACAGTCCAATTAAAAAAAACCAACAACAAAACTGTAAGAAAAAAACAAACACCACCATCAGAGCAAATGTTTTCTTTTAGACCATTTCAACCCTGCACAGGCCAAGAAAATGGCAGGGTCTCCTACATTTCAGAAAGTTTTTAGAAGAGTAAAACTTTCCTTTGTAGCTCTTATTTTAACTCTGCTGCTTCTCCTCCAGGCTGCTGTGCACAGCAGTGCTGGAAAGCCTCTGGCAATGAATTTTTTTTGTGTGTGGAGCCTGATAAACATCAGCTGCCTGAATAGCAATTCTGTGCAAGTCTGTAGCTCAAAGTCTACAAAGAGCAGACCCCTTGGTTATCAATGTAGACTAAACTTCGGAAAAATCACCATCTGACAGATCTGCACAACTGAGTCCAAGCCACATCCCCCCTGGAATATGCTACTGCAGGAGGCAGGTGATCAGGCTTTGCACTGATTCTGGCTGTCTTCATGACTAGTCTCATTTCCCCAAAGACAAGAGAAATAAGACCAGGATATTCTTCTAGGCAGTTTCTAACTCCATCTATATGCACGTTTGTCTGCTCAGGTCATGTGTATTGGCAGAGGGCACACTAAGAATCACACACATGGTTCACGCAACTAAAGTGAGGCTATGCTGACATCCCTGGAAACACTTAAAGATCTTAGCCATTCTGATAAAATGAAGTGCTTTTGAGCTTTAAGTCTGATTTCTATCTTGATAATTATCTGCCTCCCTGCTCATCAGTGCAGCATGGACTATGAGGGACCATGTCTTCAGTCTCCTCTGAAACCAAAGCTGGTTCTGCTGAACAGAGAAACAACCTCAATAACCTGAACATTGTGGCAGGAGATGTCACTGACTGTCTCCCCAAGCTCTTGTGAAATGGAGGTGGTTTGGTGAAAATATATGGAGAACCAACAAACAAAACATGCTTATTCTGAATATGAGAATCAGAGAGCATGGGCTTGAATTTATTTCCTTCCTCCAGGCAATTTTCATGTGAGCTGCTTAAACCACTGCTGACTGAAGCTGTGTATTTAATTATTTAATATTGTGACTAGAGGCCAATGATGTTATATAAGAAAACCAAACAACCCAGTCTCATGTAGAAACAACTTTTTTATGGATTACCGGCTCTGCCACACAGTAATACTTTTCTTGGTCCCTAGATAACTCTCAACAAACAAAAATATATCCTATGTCATATTTATATATTCTATATTACCATATATAATGCATTAGGTTCTTTCAACCCAAATTATACATGCATTCATTCAAAGGCTGCTGTACACTGGGGATTTATGAAAAATCCCATTTTCCCATCACACAGATCTTGCTTGGGAGCATGAGAGAGTTCTTCATCAGCAGAAGGACACAGAGAGCTCTAAACTGCAAAGCGTCCCAATCCAGCTTTCCTAAGATCTCAGCCAGGTTGGAAGTGTCTCAGGAAAATCCTGTGCCTGTTACCACAGAAATGTCATCCTGTGTACGCTCTTCTTGACCCTGAAGTTGTGCAACTAACCTTTCTGTCTCTGGATTGGCTTTCAAATGAAAACAATGATCTGCTTCATTACCAGAAGCCGCAGCCTGCCGCCGCTCCAGAACGGCTTTCATGTGTCCAACTTTGTTTCTACAAAGTGGAGTGAAGTTTTCATTGTACTTTGTAAGACACCTGGGCTCCCCTCCTGCACACTGTCCAAAGCCAGCAAAGCATCGCACAACACACTCGCTTTCATCCCTCCTTAACCCTTCCACACAGCCTTCCCCCCTCCTTACCTGTTACAAGGCGAGTAAGGACTTTAGTCTTCTCATTGAGGATGTTCACTGTCACATTTCTGGCAGACTGGAAGTACAGTGGGTTGCCCTGGAATGAGAACCAGCAGAGCAAACACATGAGATGGGGATGGCTGCCTGAGACCAACCTCCTCCAGGTAGCTGGATCTTTACCTAATGACCCTGTGCTGCTGCTGTTCATGGCCCCAGGGTTGGCATGTGGCTGAGGTGCAGGTTACCCTGCATTCGTTTTTATTGTGCAGGATAAACCAGAGTTCACAACTCTGGTCCAGGCAGTGTCCCAGAGACTAGCCTTGCTTTAGGGATAGGTAGCTTTATTGCCTGTATAAGTCAATCAATCTGTTATTTTAAAATGGGCAGGTGATCTGGGACCTGACCTCAGTTTCCTGAAGGTGATGGTGCTTTGGAGGTGGCTGAATGTTGCAGTGCATTTCAGAGCCAAATCTGCAATATTACACACAGTTTCAGATGACCCCAATGAGTGACTGTGTCTGCCTACCACACAGCCATGTGTGTGAGCTGTGCCCAAGGGCTGTATGCAAGAAAACCTCACAAACATGTACAAAGTGTCTTTGATCTCAAAGCACTTATAAACCATCCAGCACATGCCAACATCACATTCCAGCTTGGGATGCCAGCTTGGGACTAGACCTGTCCCATCAGGTCTGGATACACAATACACAAAGTCTCCCCCCACTTGACTGCACAGATTTCTACCCATTTTTCATTTTTATGCTTTAAATGTACCTCTGAGAGAAGAGCTTGAGCAGCTGCTAACACAAAGGAGGCACAAAGCTACCTGGCAGCATTCATCTCAGGTATTTCTCCTGCAGAGTGAAGCCAAAGAAAACCCACAGAGAAAACCATCTGGCTCCTTCTGTGTGCAAGAGCATCCAAGACAGCCAGGAACCTGTGTTTTCTACAGGCAGCCCCACTCCACACAGTTGATTCTGCAGGGGCTATTAGCCACTTACAGCACTAGCACAGGGTGACCCCAACTTAAATCAGCCAAAAATCTTAGGTGAGAGGTGGAAATTCACTGCCAGTATCATTTCATAATGTCTAAAACAGGCAGCTAATTAAATTAATCAACTGACTAAGCCATATGATCAGTAGAAGAGATAAAATACCAAGAAAAAAAAACACAGCAAGGTGTTGAAAAATTTATTTCCATGTGATAACCCCTACTGAAGTAGTTTCTAGTCTTTAAAAATATTTCCATTAGGAATGAATAATCAGGATGGGGACAGAGGATCGTGTAGGTAAGGCGTGTTCTCCTTGCCTTCTGACTATATATGGAACATAACTAATATTTGCATAGATGCCATTTTTCTGGATCATGGCAGAAGGACTATGTTGTCTGCAAGTAAAACGTAACAGAAGCACAGGAATGTACTCATGGGAGTCCTGTGATGGACTGGAGCTTTGGGGAACACTTCTACTGAGGGGTAAATGATTCCCAGCAGTGTTTGCAGAAAAAAACCACAAAACCGAAAACAAAACCAATCCCACATGTGACCAAATATTCACAATAATTACATTTGTTGCCTTAACAGTGCACACACGGGAGCAGCCCTTCAGTAAAATCAGGGGAAATGGGATTTAATTGATCAGTTATAACTAGACTGTTATGGCTACATTCAGACTACTTACAATTAAATAAAAAATTATAAAAAGAAAGATTTTCACTTAATCATTTTCAGACCTTGGACAAGTCTCAGAAGCCCTTGGTTTCTTCTGTCTCCTCATACACTGTGTGAGGACAAATCATCCTTATATATCTCTGTGATGTGTCTGACAGGTTAAGTAATACAGTATATAAAACTAAAATATGATTAATATACTAGAAGTAAGGAGCAGTGGTAATGACTAGTAATGATTTTGTTCTTTTTTATTAATTTTTGTTTGTGACCTTCTAGAACCTAGAAATTAATGTTGATCACTATTTTATTGCTAGTAGAACAGAAGAAAAGCTGGCTTCACTTGAATACCCACTTGCTCTGGTATTAATTCTCCACAGCCCTGATCAGGGACCTAATTTGAACATCCCCAGCAATGGCAGTTTTCTGCTACATTTTTAATTTCACAATTACAGATGAAGGGTGTTTTTAAAGGCAAATAGCTACAATCTGCAGAATCTATAGTTACAGGTGAGGCTGTAACCACCATAAATATGCTGTATGAAGCACAGAAAGGTCACATTTTTGACTTGCACTATTCAACTTTTGTTTCTGGAGTTATGCAAGTAGCTAGAGTGTTTGGAAAAGGCCAGGAAACCTTCTAGTCCAAACTCAGGTAGGTAAAATAATTCCATTCCCATGGCTTTGAAACTCTGTTACTGATCTGCATAACAGGAGATTGCACTACTGAAGTACGACAAGATAAGCCAAGTGGTTAATATAAAAAGAGACAGAGAAGTTGTTCTGAAGCAGTTTGACAAGACAAACTAAGAGCTGGTATCCATCTACAAAAGACTTAAAATCCATAATCGGACCTTAAAACTCTTATTCCAGCATAGTCATTTCATTCACTGATTCAGAGCTCAGATTCAGGCAGCCTTCAAAAAACTAAATTTCCCTAATAGAAGGGTTATGTTTTTATTGGTCTGCAGGGAAGGAACATGTCAAGCACTTAATGCAATGCCTGCTCTCATTTTCATAATTCTTCTTCCATTAAGAAATGGAAGAGACATGAAAAAATTACTCCCTTTTGCTGAAAATTCTGCACATCTTCTGCCCATCATCTTCTGTTTACAAAGAACACTGACAACTTCTACATACTGAAGATTTTAAGAAATGTTTCTTCTATTGCAAGCTTGGTGATGGTGCCAGCTTCCTTCAATCGGACAGAAAGAAATGATTAAATAAAGTATCAAAAAGTCTTAAATCATGAGACAAAATGAGGTATCCTGAGGCATATGAGGAAGTGGAAATCTAAATCAATACTGCATCATCACCACAATAAAAATATTAATGTAGGGAAGTAATATTCTCACAAACTGTCCTAACACTTGATAGACCTAGAGTCAGAATATCAGCATGCAATAAATAAGCACATCTGACTAATTATAAGAGTGTAAGTATGAGACATCACATTTCTGAAATATAATAGGCAACAATCCTGTTCTGAATCTTTCCAGATAGATAATATTAAAGAAAGAAATGTATTTTACTCTTGGGATTGATACAAAGGAAACAGGAGTGAACGGAAAACAAGATTAAATATTCTTGTGGCTTCAGAAAAGTAGGCAAAACAATCCTTTTCTCTTTGTCTACCTGTTTCTCTCCAAAAGGTTCAACCCACTTCTTCAGAAAAGCAGATTTGAGATAAAATACATCTGATATCACCGATCACACAATAACCTAGCATATCTCACTGCCTGCATTCTATCTTATGTACTGAGAAATCTCTTTCTGATTATTTCTTCTCCCTCTCATCACAAACATGACAACAAGGTTTCTAAACCCCCCTTTTTGCAAGAGCAGATGCTGCTCCCAGCCCACACGCTGCCACTGACTTGCTCTTTAAGCACAGACTTGGCTGTTTCAACTTCAGCCTCCTTACAAGCACCCTCTGTTAACCTTGTTGCTGTGCTGTGGCAGCAGAGTCACAGCTCTCATCTGCCTTAGCCCTCCCATTGCACTGCACTGAACTATAGCCCTTGATTTAACTTCTGATGCAACTTTGCAAATTACATCAGTGGACACCTCCTTTCTGACACTATTTTTGGTTATTGTGTCTTTCCAGTGGTTCCTCTGATCATCAATGGTAGCAGGATGTATTTCCCCCCCTCTTGCTTGTTTTCCTCTTTGCTTCTTACTTCCAGCAGTGTACACTGCCCCAGACACAGCACTGCCCGCAAGCTCATTTTTGCTGTTGTCAGGCATGTCCCAAGACCTACTGAGAAAGCTGACTTTCTAACCCTTACTCTGTCATTTTTGGTTGGTTGACAAAGAAGTGCTTAAATTAGTCTCCCTGACCCAGTTTTGCATGTTCCCATATGACTTGCTCATCCTTCAAAGGGATGCACCAGTAATACTCTCACTGCACAAAACTAAATGCAGTGTTTTCTAGCCATGAAGATCTCCAGAATATGCTGTAAGGACACAGTCCCTGAGCACACACTTCATTGCCCCACTCCCACCTTGAGAACAGAAAATCCTTTGGAGAGCTGCCCCCATAAATCAGATCTAGGAGGAAATGATTGGGTCAAAAAAACTTCAGAATTGGTAACATCTGCTGGAGACATCAAGCAACTGGCACCGCTGTGAATCACAGCAAACCTCACCAGAACATTGTGCAGACATCATGCATCTCCTGAAAAACAAACAGACAAAACACTGGATAACATCTGTCGTTGGTTGTAAAGAAGATAAACTCTGGGATAACTAATGAACCCTAAGATCCAGTTTGGAACAGCAGCCTGGCATTCCTCGACATCAACAGAAAATCTAGACTCCAGGCCAGATTTGAAAGCCAACCATTACTGTTTCTGTTTCAAAAGAAAAAACAATAGCTCTTCCTCCTCTTCCTTCTGATCTAGCTCCCCACAGCAAAACCAGGATTTAGCCCAGAAGCCTTCTGGCACCAAAAGTTAAACCACGTAGCTAAATCCCTAGGTGCTAGATTGAAAACATCCGTTAATATGATTTGAATTTACTTTTTGTCATTTAATCACTGAGTCTCTCTTGATCTTGACTTTGTCCTTCAAACAGCTGAATATGATGTTCATGTAACTAAATCCCTTTTTTAGTAAAACTTCTGGTTTGACAGTGTAAGCTTTTCACAGCAGAATGAAAGCAAATCGTGAATGGAATTGGTAAGAAACAGATTAAACCAAATGCTACAAAATACTACAGCATGTGCTATATTTGTGTCTAAAGATGATTGCTTTCAGGAAGGAGGCAACAGGTCCAGTGCAGAGATAACAAAACGTAGTCTGCATCCTCTTCATCCTGAAAACAAACTCTTTTCACAAGTGTAATGTGCCCAGGTTGTGTAACCTGGATAAGCAAAAGAGCTGATGCATCCCTGACCTGCAACTGGCACTCAAGGGCATAAATGTAACAT